TCATCACTGATATCATCAAAGAACTTTGAAACGTGAGTATACTTTTTCTTAGTTCCATTAGCGGCTTTAGGAAACTTTTTTACATTAAACACAATTGACTTGCCAGCAGTAGACCTAAAAAGAGAATTATGCTTGTACAAACTACTTTCGTTCTGAACCTGGGCGTTGGATTCAGAAAAATCAAGATCCAAATTTTTGTTGTGTACACCACCTTGATCTATGGATGGTTCAATATTGGCATCAGAGGGACCACCATGAGACTCCTTTTCGTGATTTACTCGACCTTTGGGATTAAAAGAAATGTCATCTAAAGAGGAATCCTCTAAATTACCAAACTTGCCGTTGGAAATTTCGCTATAGCCTTTGATGTTTGGTACAACCGGGTGGTCAATGTTATATGAGTTTGAGCTCACTTCAAGGAAGTTGTCATTAGTATGGATGTTTGGTTGGTGAAAATCATTAGAGTTTACAGAATCAGGAATGCTGTTTATTTTAATTATACTTTTGTGTTGCTGTGAAGAAGAAACGTTTGCAGAGATTTTATTGCTTTTTGCAGATGGGTTTCGCCTATGGAGGGAATTTATTAGCTCAGACTTTGAGGGTTTTTGAGAGAGCTTGGATTTTGAACTATGGATAGAATCTGAGCTTTTATTTAAAGAGGTTAGTGGTAGATTGTCGGGATCAAATGAACTTTTTGGTTTAGCCGAGTTATTTGAAGCTTGGTTTTTAGTATTTAGAGTGGATACTAATAGTTCATATTGACGAGTAAGTTCGATTTTTCGTTTTTCATAACCCAGCTCAGTCAAATATCCCTCGTCATAATCTTTGATTAATTTGTTCAAACTTTCAAGGTAAGCTTCAGTATATTCATTGTCATCAAAGTTCATTGCTATTGAGGTGAGTCAAATAAATATTAGATATTAAAATGAAGTAAATAAGTAAGGGGAAAATCAAGAAGAAAAAGGTTTACTTGTTATTTAAATATGTATGAACCTCGAATATATGTTTACTTTTTGATTTATAAAAGCCAAGGAAACGAAAATATTGAAACTGATCTCTAGATCTTGTTTTGAGTTTAATAGAAGTGCTGTTTGAGCGGTTTTTCTAGATGGAATATTAGTATAAACAAAAATAGATATAACCTCGGGATGAGAAGAGGGGAAAGGAGAAGAAGGAGAAGTGTTAGTGGTTTTTTTAACAAGCGGAAAAGAATAAAAAGTATTATGAGTATTAGACAGAGTAAATAGATTTAAAGAGAGAGTCGGGGTAATGGATTAACGAATGTAAGAATAAATGGGGGGACTGAAAAGTTTAACAAAAGGCGAAAGAAATGGTGTATATGAACGTAACAGGAAAAGA